TACACTGCAATAGGCGAGTTTCATGGTGAACTGTCCTGTCACAAGCTACCACAGGTAGTTCAGAGAGGACAGTGCTTGCTTGAAGAAAAGAGGACATGATGGAGGGGGTGGGGGGTAGGGAGTGTAACAAGGTCACATTACAGGGATGCGAGGGCATACTGATTAGGACTGGTTCAGTGCTTTACTAGACCCCTGAGATGTGCGAGGAGTCATTAATGGAACATATACTTGATAATCAAAGGCACCTTTCACTATGAAAAGCTCTGAGCATGTGTTTGAATTTGGTGCCTGTGAAAAAGGAGGAGAGAAATCGTTAACTGGGCACAGAGCCAGCGTGGGCAGGCATGCTTGCTCTGCCAGCAGACCTCAGTCCCAACCTCCATGACTGCCTGTTAAACCAGCCGTGAGTACCAACAAGCTTCAGCCAAGGCACTCCCAGCCTGCAACACCCACTGCCCTTGTAGTATGGTCTTCTCCTCACATGGTCCACCTCTCGTCTGGTCCTGTGGCCCACACCACCCAACCCAAACTCTAAGCATCTCATGCTTTGCTGACGCCACCAACCCCTGACACCTGACAAGAGGATTTGGCAGGATGGTAACACATAGCACCTGCTATTCTAGCCCCTAAACATATCTGTGCCTGTAGAGTACTGCTTTCTGTCTTTCCTTTCTCCAGGCGGCTTCAGGAGCCCTGTGTTCTTTATTCTTCTTCCTCTCTGCCTCTCTTCCCTCTCACCCTACCCTCCCCAGTTTGAATCCTTTAAGCCATGTATACGTGCCGAACCAGTTTTTCCTAGCTGCACTCTGCTGCTGTCCCTCTCTTATTCTGACGCTGGGTACTGAATGGAGCCATGGCAGGTTGAATGCCTACCACAGCCTACCGAGTGTTAAGACTCTAATTGCATAGTAACTAGTGACCTTGCAAGTACAGAATAATCTGCTCTGTAGTACCAGGGCAAATTATCTGAGTACTTCTGTGTTTTCCATTACAGCTTTATCCAGAGATCGAAACATGGCCAGTTAAACGGCAATTAATCTCTGAACCTCCTGACACCTTCCTGTTTTGGCATGCAGAAACCCGCAGGAGCACAGTGTCTGCGCGGGGCTAGAGGAACGGCTGCGCTGCCATCCTCAGAGAGCAAGAGTCGCTGCTTCTTAAGAGCACAGAGCCATGTCGAGACACTGGGGTGCTTTAGGTGCAACACAAAGCGGCTGCATCTCAACACCCACAGCCCTCATCCGCAGCTTGAGAAACAAGCATGCAACCTGGTTTCCAGCGCTGCTGGATGGCTGCAGCCCTCACTGCCTTCAGCTGGATTTGAAGGAACAGTTCTGTGACACGGCTCTTGGGGAAGCATTTTGCAAGGCGGTTACCTGCCACGGTGTATGCATAAAGCAATTCAGGCACGAGTGGGCAAGTCTGCATGAGAGCCGGGAGTCTTTCTCCAGCCTGAATAGGACTGCCTGCTTCTTCTCGTTTCCAAAGGGCATGTGAATGGCTGAGGGGCAAAGCCAGGTTTACTTGGCTTGGATCCCTGGAAGACAGAAAGGGTGCGTATGCCGTCGCCCTTCCTATTCTGACCTGGCAGAAAGGGGTGAGAGGTTTCACAGGGTCTTATTTGTGAGGTGTGGGAGCCCAGCTGGGATTCTCAATCAGGGGGGAAATGTCAGTGAGCAGCACTGATATCCTCTAGCTCTGCACCACGCTCTGAAATCAAAGAGCTGGGAGTCTGCTTTTGGAAACCTGAGGTAAAACGGTGAAAGGATGGGTTTTCTCCTTCCTTGTCAGAAACCCTTAGAGTCTCTGCCCTAACAAATATGACAGGCTGCTCTGAGAGTGTCTGTTCCAGTGACAAGAGTTAGCACTGCCCCTGTTGCAGCCCTCAGCCCCCAGACTACCACCGTGGCCCTATCCGTGCTCACAGGACGCTCACAAAAAGTACCACTGCAACCTGCCATCAATTAACTTATGTCAAAGGGCATTGTATGTGACCCTTGGGGTTGATGGATATAGATGTGCATAGCCCATATTATATTTATGGTAACTATGTATATTTGCCCACACTTTAGACCCATTTATACTGCTCCCTCTAGAGAGCTTATAATTTTTACAGTAATCACAGCAATGATTTTCAGATTATAGACTAATAAAACATTTTAATTTGTTACGAAGCATTCAGGCGGGTATTATATGGTTCATATGACATTTCAAAAAAAAAAAAAAGTTGCTGAGATCAATTTTCAAACAGGAGCACAGCAATATAAAGTCAAAATCCCACATGCTGGTCCTCAGAACAGCATTTAGATCCATATGTGCCCGTGTCAGCTGAACAAATCCCAATTCAAAGAGCCAGCTATGGGATTTAGTATCCTATTCATAGATCTGGTTTTTGCAAACTGAGCCCACGGACAGAATTTCTCTAGTAGTATATAATGTACTGCAATGAGCTGGCACCAGCATGTGTGTACATGCCTGCCACAGCTCTCTGTGGGATGGGATCAGAATTGGGGTTTGGCCCTTGGCAGCTATGTACCGAAATGACTTATCCGTAGCTCTGTCTTCTGGCACATGCATTTTGATGCAGGCTTCAATTACATGATCACTTGCTGTGTTTTTCTGGGACCCCAGCCTGGCTCAGTAGGCATGTTGGATAGTTAATAAGGCCAAGCCGTGTTGCAAGTTAGTCTGGGACCCAGAGTAGCATGCCTTTTTCATAGTACTAGTTGCAGGGTGTGTTGTCAATGTGCTACCCCTTGCATCCTTTCCTCAGACCTTAGGTAAGTTGCAGGGTATGTATTGAAAGAGGCAGGTGGCTGCTGGAAGAAGAAAGACAGCCTAGTGGTTAAGGCAGTGCCCCAAGACATTGCAAATGAGTTCTAATTTTGCTTGAGCCACATGCTTGCTGTGTGACTTTGGGGAGAGTTAATGAATGTACATCTAACTTAATTCGTGATGACTCTGATGTCACTGGAACAGTTCCTTCACGCGCTTCTGCTTCTGCTGGATATGCCAGGTGAAGAAAGGGCTACAAAATACCAGATTGCAGTAGTCTTCCAACCCATGATAATGTCCAATGTTCACCATACCTGGACTGATCCGCACACACAGTTTCAAGTGCCTGTTTCTCTGTGCTATTCCGGACAACATTACTAATCTGTTTATATGGTTGCAGTAAGAAGAGTACTCCAGCCCCATATAATCTTTTTGGTGCATTAATCCTCTGTAGACAGGTACTATTATCCCCATTTTACAGAAAGGAACCAAGGCACAGAAAAGCAAATGAACTGCCCAAGGTTACAAGGAAGTCAGTGACAGAGTAGGGAATTGTACCCAGACCTCAAAAGCAAGTATCCTTACCACACATTCTCTTCTGTCTCACTGCAGTCTACAGGGGTCTCCCCTTTCAGTGGAAAGCTTTCCTGTGGAAAGCTTTCAGCTCCAGGGATTGGGGTACATGCAAAAGCATTTTACAGCAGAAAGCTTTCAGCTCCGGGGATTGGGGTACATGCCTCCTCCCTTCCCACCTCTGGCCAAATCGTGAGAGCTGGATCTCCTTTGCAAGACCTCCAGCCTACAAAGAATACACAGGGAAATGCCTAAGGCTCATTTTTCCCCTTGAATAGTTTGAGCCCTTTCACTGCTATTTGCTAATTTGTTCCAACTATTTGATTGCTGGATTATTACATGGTACAGACTGAGCTGAGGGAATTCGTTAATCAGCTTGTTTTCTATGTTGGAAAAGAATAAAATCAATACAAGGAAGTGACAACTTTGTAGATACTGGCTGCAATTATGATAATTTGCAATGGCAGAAGGTATGGATCACACGCTGTGGGCCCTCCAAAACACTCCTGAAACAGCTGACATGACTTTTTATAGGCATACAGTTAGGGGGTGCCTGTACTCAAGGCCTCTATTCCAGAAGAACCCTGCATCTATGGTAGGCCTCATCCTGCCCATAATGCCCCTCAGAGCCCTTATATAGTGACTAGCCCCACAGCCATCCATGGGGACTACTCTGGGAAATGGCAGGGGCTAAGCCCAGCAGTAAGCATTTGTAAGGATTATGCTCATAGTGTGAAAAATGTGCAGGATGAAAGGAGCTAAAAAGAAGCCACATATAATTATGTTACACTGCAGAGGTCGACTCCAGCACTTGTTCTGTCATAAGGACAGGAATTGAAAGACAAAAAATAAGAAAGAAAGTGTGTCAGGGCATAGAGGAAAACCATTGTTAAAAACCCCTCCAGGGTTAAGGCTACAAAATTACATAAGCACTTAGAACTAGATTCCTATCTGCACCCTGCAATGCATCTCCAACTACTGCACTGAAATGTGAGAAAGCAGCAAAACCCCTTTTTCTGGAAAGCCTGTTTCACTGCTGATGTGTGGACTATAAAGTCTCTCTCTCTCTCATACTCGCAGGCATCTCTGGTGACAGACAGAAAAGTGTGGGAGCCCCACTCTGTAACAGAAATGGGGAGGGTCCTACAAGACTCAGCCAGGTACTTAACAGTGCATAAACACTCATTTAATCTATGTCCCAGCTGCTCTAGGGACCTTGGCTCATCTCTGTGGACTTGTCAGCACCAGGAAGCTACTATGAAATGAAGGAGAATGGGAAGTTACAGCTCATAAGTACTGCTTGGTCCCATCCCCTGCTTACGCTGGATATGCCAGGTAAAGACCTCTGGATGGTCTTATTTGACCTTAACGGTGCTTTCTGCTGTTTAGCTTAGTCCACCTCTTTAAGAGTGTCTACACAGGGAGTTAGCGTAGAACAGTTATTCCAGGCTATTTTCCCATGTAGCTGAGTCCAGAGGTGATGTTAGCAGATGTGCAGGAAAGCAGCATGTGTGTTCCTATCACACACCGGGGATGTGGTCCCTGCCACTAATAAGTGCCCTGTCCCAGGAGCAATCCCGGCTGTCATCCCATGCTCAAGCCATACAAGTCCCCAGCCTTCGGACTACCCCCTGGAGTTGAAATCCACTCACTGTTGTAGCTGTCGGTCCTGCTAGTCTCTGCCGCTGCCAGGCTGCGCTGAATTGACCCTTCGGATGCGGCCCTTCCTGACAGTGAATGGGTGAAAACAAGGGAAGGAGACAAACAAAAGAAAGGGAAAAGGGGAAAAGGGGGTTATGGGAGGGGGGGATGAAGCAAGGGGACAAGAAGGGAAGAGGGCATGTCTTTAACTGAACTGTACGTCTTTCACTGGCTGCAACATCCAACAGCTTTATAAAACTCACCATGAGAATCTGGTTTCTGCCACAACCTCAGGGCACAATTGTCCACTGCCTTTCACCTAACGCTGTCATTTATGCCACCGCACAGGGAAGGCGAGTAACCAACCATAGTGATGGGCAGTGATCAGGTGAGCTTCTGGCCTTTAAACATTCCCCCAGCCTCTGAGATGAAGTCTGCTGAATAGCACCAAGCCCCTGTGCACAGAGTCCCCTGCCAACATAGATGCAGGACAGGAGGAATTTTAAAGGGCCAGGGCTGTCCCTATCTACCTCACTCAGAAGTGTTTTCATGGTTCATTTTGACCTAGCTTCCTCCTCAGAGTGGTGGAAGCATGTGTATAGTAGTGCAGGTGGGACCGAATCCAGGGTCCTGCTGTCTTTATTCAAGCAAACGCTCCTGGAACATAGCAAAAACTGATCCTTGGAGGTGGTGAGCACCTACTGGTTTCAGAGGAGTTCATGGAAACTGCAAGTGTCCAGAGCCTGTCAATTTTCGGGCAGTTAGACTGAGTTGTAGGATCAGATGCTCACTGCATAGTAGAGGGTTATTTGCTAGAAGGTGCTATTCCCTGTGTTACAGGTGCCCCTAAGCATTTGTGCCCGCTCAAGGTGTTGATGCAAATACCCTCATGAAAGTGGACTCCTAAGGACAACCCATTCCACTTTATTTGACTTAACAGGTGGTCACAGGCCAGAGAACCAATTTGTCAGACAGGAAATTGTTCCCACAGTGATTCAGCGACCTGCCATGTCACCATCTTTCACCTCTAGAACATCCTTCACCTGAGACTCTCAAGGCTCCTTACACATTTGCACTAACACTCAGAGACAGTAGCTATTATATTTGTTTTGCAGCTAGGGAAACTCAGCTTAGGGAGATGAGTGGCAAAGGTCCAAAATATGAGCACCTTTTATGACACTCTGAACATACCACTTCAGTCAAATTTTGGGAATGCAGGACCCCACTGTAAAGCTGTGAATGCTCACAAACTCCATCCACCTCAGTGGCTGCAGTGATTGCTTTATCCCTTGCAGAACTGGAAGCCAAGAAGGGAAAAAGAAAAAGAAATATAAAAGAAAGGAGCGGAAAATAATAGAAGTAGGTTTTTCACTGCAGCATGCTAGGAAGGGGACTGGGGGTAAGACTCCCAACGTGCAAATCCTGTTGAGTCGACAGTGGCACAAACACACTGATTTCCTAGATACTCCTTTCCAGTGAACGACATTCCTCGGGCAAGCAGAAGAGACAACCCTGAGCTGTGCATGCAGTTGGTGAGCACGGCACTGTGAGTGCATGAATATTTCCACAGATGGTGCTTAAGGAAGCAACACTTACTGCTGCAGAATGAAGACAAATACCTAAGTGGGCTCAAATACCTATGTGACTCTAGTTATGCTCACAGGAATGTCTTCACCTGCGTGGAGAGGTGCAAACTGAGCTGCTAAATGTAGCTGAAGGATCATCCTGTTTAGGAAATTGCTGCATAAATGATTGAAAACCCTCTGCGATATTTTGCTCTCCCCCCAGCAAGTCAAATGACAGAGAGATGGGAGCTGGGTGGGAAACGGGTTTAGAAAAAGGTGGTTTACATTCCCTTGTCATTAAATGTTACAGACTTAGAAAAAAAGCCCACCACAAAAATCCCACAGCCAGCTGGAGCGGAGTACAGACATCGGCGAGAAGCAGAGCAAATGAAATCATCAACGATGGAAAACAGCAGCAGTAAGAACATAGTACAGAACAAAGCAATCCTACCTCAAACACAAGACTGGAACATCTTCCCCCTGTCTGATCCATGCCCGCATGCTTATTCCAATAACAAATAGTGAACAGGGAGAGAGAGACCCAAACTTGATTTATATCACAGGCCAGCAAAATGGGAAGAGGCTGCTGAATCTGACTATAAAACCCAATGATTTCATGTGTTTTTCTCATCTGTATCGGAAAACCAAGGAGTGGAGCTTCTACCCTGCTCCTACGTGATATTGGCAGTGTTTCACAAGTATAGATGCTATACATTGTGCCTAATACCTGTGTTGGCCACTTAATTGGATTTGAAGTAAAATAAGCATTTCTTAATGAATAACAACAATTGACAGGAAAATGCTCAATTTGCCACGTTGGATAATTCCATTTGTTCATTGTACTCGGCACGATTCCTCGGAGACTTCTGCCTCCCCTCTTCTTCCTTTCTTCCCTATAAGGTGCTTACCTACTTGTACAAGGCTGTAGGCTGCTATGGGAAGTTTCTTTCTGCCTTCTGCATGTGACTACCCCATGTCCTACAACAGTAGCCTGATGGCACGTCTTACTGTTACCCATCCCCCTCATACACAAGGCAATAAAACGTGGATGCTGAATATTAAAAACCAAACAGAAACATCAAAATACCCTGTTACTGATTTTCTTCTTGGTTACAAAAGCCAAAGGGTGGAGTGGGGTGGAGGTAATAAGCTGGGTATACTGTACAAATGAGCACATAACTGTAATTGGGGGGAGGGGGTCATGGTGGTGGAGTCTGAAGTAGAGGAATGTGCCTTTTAATGTGCAAAAGGGTATTGATTGGGCTGCACAAAATTCTCGCCATGAATTCCTTTGACAATTGGGTGATGCGTTGTCCTCGTAATTGGCAGGGGGTGAGGAGGAAATCATTTAAGTGTGCAGAGCTCAATGCACACAAAAAGAGAATTACTGTCTATTGTGCTTGGCACTCAAGTTCCCCTCCCGAAAAAGATTCCTATTTCTATGCATGTGCAATTTTGCGCATCACTGCCCCCTGATTGTATGGTGAACATGCTGTCTTTGAAAGCCTTGCCCTAAACAGCCTGTTGATTGAAGACAGCTGTTTGCAAATAGGGGCTTTCGCCCTCCTTTGCCTCCAGCTGGCTTAGAGTAGGATGGTGATTGTAGGATGATGAAGAAGGGGTAAGGAGATGGGAGACAGGGGTGGAGAGAGAGAGAATTCTCTCTATGTAGACATCAGAAGCAAATGTTTCTCTTCCATAAAAAATATCTCAATTAAGGAGGGTGATGAAGATATTTGTATGTTAATTCTTGTAGGCAGGCCTTCAGTTTGTCTTCAAGAATGGCCTTTCACACCAGGGAGAGCCTTCAAATCTATCTCACTTAAGAAGCCACTGCTATACACAACATATTTAAAAGAAAATTCAAGCCAAGGCATAATTTCCCCAAACTCCTATTATGTTGTGTCCTAAGTTTTTTGCCTCCCCTTCCCTTGCTGATCATGGAAGAGTGTGACTCACTGCCTTGTGCCTCTGGCACCCTTCCCTGCTTTTGCTCTCAAAGGTGCCTCCATGGCAGTAAGCGACGATGCCCTAATGTTGTGGGTGGGGATCAAGAGGAGAAGGCAGATAACCAGCTGGGCTGCTGTGGGGAATGCGGGTCTAGCAATCAGTGGAGAGAGTCCTAGCGCACCCAATGCTTGTTTTCTCTCTGCACAGATACATGGCTCTTCCAGATCACTGTGTGGAGCAGTCTTCATTCTCTCTGCAGTATCTGATGCCATCTGGGACTAAAGATACATGAAATCTTAAGGCTGCATCATTCTCTTCCTCCTTGTCCACCTCACCCTATTTTTAATGAAGGTTCCACTGCAATATCTAAGTACCAACCTACTGTTGCGCCCTCCAGTCCGCTTTTTCCCCTTTACCTGATTCTGGTGGCATAAGGGACCCAACATGGCCTGGATGTCCCTTGCTTGGGGTTTCCCTTGGCATAAAACTGTCTTCTGTACTACCCTGGGTAGCTCCTGCCCATGAGGGAGGTGGCCTGGGTGGAGCTAGGGTGAACATGAACAAAGTGATTTAGAGCACATTGTATTCCAGCTTTTTGCAGCTAGTGGAGGCCACAGCTGGTCAGCATAGGTTATAGAGCAGCCTTTGGGCCCTTCTAATGCATGTTGGGGAAGCCAGCTTCCGGATTAGAGAGAATGCTCCCCTGCAGCTCTACGCTTCATCCAGCAAAAATTCAATATAGCAAAAAAATCTCATCCTTGGCGACTAGACTTAACTGGATTTGCAAAAAGGTGGAAATAAGTGAGAGGCTCTGACATCTCCCCAGGAAGCTGGCTATCTTACAGCAGCTTTCTGCAGGCTCAGGAAGTTTGGACCATGTGGATAATCATGCAGATTTCTGGGTATTACTGGAAATGAACACGCAAGTGAGTGATGGTGGTTTTTACCCATTACTTACACAGATTCAGCCATTCACTGCTTACCCAAAGCCAACTGAAATTTCTCTGTACAATGTGGGTGTAGAGATCAGGCTCTGAAAAAAAAAATCCCCTGGGAGCCTTTCTGCATCATTGATGTTTTGTTGTCTCTGGATAAAAGCAAGAGGGCTAGCTCTGGGAGAAGACTTGGGAGCTCATATTTTGCTGCACAGTGAACTTGGGATGATAGTTTTGAGTTTGGCCTGAGCTTTTCCATTCCAACTCAGGGTGATGGGTCAGGCCGGGTTTGGTTTTTATCTGAGCCAGTTCCTTCCTTCCCTAAAGAAGATATTATGACTCACAGCCCCAGGACACAACTTCTATTAGTGGCTGATGGCAGCTGGGAGGTCAAGTCTGGTGTTTTCACCCCTGGATAACAGGATGTTCTGCACAGCTCCCTTTTATGCCTGTGCTTTAAGAAGACGTCACTAGACTGCGAGAGGTCTTCATCGGCCACATCCCTCTCATTACTGAAACAAAATGAACAGCACGTAAATCAACACTGCCACCCAGCCAGGAGATGGGCAGGTGTGAGGAGGAGAAAGGAGGGAGGGTGGGCTGAAGAGGTGGGAATGAGAATTAAGATAATTACTA